GGCGGGCCGCTGTCCTGCCGCCCCTGTCCCCTGCAAGGACGCTGTCGCCGCGGAGTCCGTTCCTTGTCTGTTGGCAGACTGCAACCGCAGAGTTACAGCCCAGCTGCCCGAAGTGCTGCATCTGTGGTGCTGCTGCTTGTATTTTCTTTTGTTTTTGAAGAAGCAATTGTGGATCTAGATATAAATTCGTTTTCCAAACCTGTTAATCCAGAGTCTCTAACACTTCTGTCTGAGCCTCCTACTTACTAGTACGGTTTACAGGCATGCATGTAGTGAAAAAGCTGTTGAAAAGTGAGGGGTTAGTTTACCTGATTTTGACATGTGGAGGATCTCTTTGCAGGCAGCCTCATCATTGACTGGCATTACTGTTTTCTGACATCTTTTACAAATTTGTCTTGGATCTTTGAAAATTCTAAATTTTTATTCTACTCTGTATATCCCATTTTTACCATTGTGCTGAGTCATCCCAGGCATAGCTGTCCTCTCAGTTGGGCTTGGTACAGTCTGGCAGGACAAACGGCCCAAGATTCCCTCCAGAGCACCTTGTTTTTGTAGGTCCAGGAAGCATGATGCTGCAAATCTAGTCAGGTTTTGGCTTAAGAGAAACGAGACAAAATATGCAAAGCTGTCATTTCTCATACGTGTTTTTACTGAGAATATTCTGTGGAACAGCAAAGGCATTAAGGTGTACTAGAGGACTACAGCCCAGACTGAAATGGTGGGGGATTCAGCTTTGTTTGCATAAGCATGTTTTTAAGATTATCTACTTTTATATGGTGAACAGAGATCATCCTGGAAGTATGAAATTGGCTTCATCTGCTTTGTAGGCCATAATTTTAAGAATGTTTTTCCCTGTTCTAGCTAACCTGTAACGGGGCACTATTAAAAAAAAAATCTTAAATGAGCAAAATCTTACCCAGAGCTTTTATAAAAGTTTAAAAAAAGGATATTTTTTCATAACTAGACCAAGGGAATACTTTTCATCTGAAACTAGCAGGAAAATCTGGTAACCATTTTTTTGAGAACAAACCACATTGTTACAAAGTGAAACTTGATCATTACTGACTTCAGTTTAGCAATTTCGCCTTGACGCTGCCAGACTTGATCTGGCTCCTGTAGAGCCACTGCGTCTGCAGTAACCTTAGGTTGGAGGCAGTGCCAGGCTTAAGCTGTCACTTGTTGAAAGTTGGTTTGATTTTTTGCAAGGGAGGGAAGTGTTAGCTGGCTTAAATTTTCTACTGTTTTAACTCCTTGAACCAACGTGGTCTTCAAGGATCACAGAAGCACAAGGGAAAGAAGCAAAAATGCAGGTGTTAGCTGGAGAGGGCAGGATGGCAACAGTACTTAGATTTGCTTAACCTTTCACAGACTGACACCCTTAAGATTATGATGCAGGAGCAGGGACAGATTACCTTGGTATGGTTGCAGTGATTTCTGTCCTCAGCTCTCTGTGCTGCTTCTCTGTCTGAAACTGTACATCTAGGGCTAGGGTAGGAAAGCTGCTTTTACAGTGAGTACTAGTCCGCCACAGCTTACTGCCCCGCATATCAAGGTGGCTCCTGATCAGTTTGCTTTGATGTACTGTGATACAAATTTCAACTTGCAGCTTGGCAGAATCTTCTCTACAGTTTGGCAGATTAGATTTAGATTCCTAAATTATAGGAACAGAATAACAGAAGGCTTTATGTACTGCCTTTTATTTCAGTGAGGAAAGGGCAGCTATTTCAGTGCTCTTTGTTCTTTATTACATGAGAAAATGAGGAATGTCTGGGCAGATGACTCTAAAGTAGAAGTACCAGCTGTACCTGGCAGAGAAAGCAACAATACTCAAATCAAAATTCCTGTAGCACATTTTATTGCTGTCTTCTAGGAAAATACAGTCCAACTAATGACATGTAGGCCAGGTCCAACCTGCGGGATCCTTTTGTTTAAACTATTAACTTTTATTTGAAGGAGATGAAGATGTGTTTACTCCAGTAAGAGTTGAACACTTTCTATTGTGTGTGGCATGTGTGCAATGTCCATGTCAGCCCATGTTAGGGCAAAGGAGGAGCAAAGGCATTTTTCCACTGTGTGGCACAGTGCTAAGCCTGGAAGTTGTCGCTTCTGTATTTTACTGACTCCTGAACCTGCCATCCAGTCCTGTAGCCACAGACTGGAGTGCACAAAGATGATAAATATTTTTAAGTAGGCATTGTTTCATGTTCGTCTGTGCATTTATATTACCAAATTGACCAATAATGTTTGCACGTGTGTGTGACTCTTGTGAAAATTACGTGTAGATACTTACTAAGGAAAACTACTAGATAAAAAGCAGCAGGAGGTGGGGGTTGTGGTGAGAGATGTACAGCCTAAAAAAAATCAAAATTGTGAATGATTTCCTTAAAAGGAGATGCCGACATCTGAAAAACAAAGTCTTGTAATTAGGGTTTGGCTTTGTGCTTGCTCTGGTCTTAATATGCCTGAGTACCTTGGCACAAATCTGCTGGTTGCTATATCTACAAAATGGAGAAGGCTTTTTTTCAGCAGAAGTTATGAAAATACCAAAGCAATGGAAAATAAGCAAAACTTGTTGGACAGTTTAGAGTCCCGATCTCTTTCAGATATATATTTCATTGTCATGTGCACTGTTTTAAAATTTAGGGGAGATTATTTAATGTTAAAAGGCTGAACTAGGCATAAAAACTTTTTTACCTTTGTAATTTGGTTTTAGAGTTTATATTTTCCTCTGACAAGCCTATTATTAAGATGGAATCCTGAGAATCAAATTGAGTCTTGTTCTTGTTTACTTTTAGATGCCTGTCTTAGATGTCAAGCTGAAAACAAACAAGAAGATTGCGTTGGTATGTAGTGATTTCATTCGCTTGTTTTTCAATTGAAGCTTCTCTCAGTAGGGTGCATTTTAAAGTTTGAAAGGAATACTGATTTTATTAATGCTCAAAAGTAAACTGGTGTTTTGTTCTACATTGTGTTGCCATTTTACGTTAGTTATACTTTATGCTTTATTTTTCAGCACCAATAAAATTAGTTTTCACTTCAGACATGCCGTAGAACAAAACAGCTTCGTATTTGCAGTCAACACATACGGAGCTGAGAGGTTTAAGTTTCTCTCACCCTGAGGATAATCGAGGAGATGATAATGTACACTTTTGAAGTGGGTAGGAAAAGGCTCCTTTTTTTTTCTTCTGAGATGCATGCCAGAAGACACAATAAATCCCAGTAAAAATCCACTGTTCTGAAATAAATGTTTGTCTGGGTTAGAAAGCGGGTTTTTTCCCAGTCCTAATTCAGACACACAGGGGAGGCTATTGCCTCTTTGTTCACTTCTTGCCTGAAAGAGTGGAATCCCTTGAGTATGCTATAATGCTGTTTAAAGAGAAACATACTCTCAATTGCATGCCAAGGTATGCAAATCTTAATTCTGATATATTTAAATCAGAAATAGTGAAAATTGTCTTAAAGAGTTTTCTTTAAGCCTTCAAGTCAACTTTTAAACCAGTGGTAAACCTTTCCACACCCTTGTTCTTTCTGTTTTGAAGTATATTGTCTCAAACTTAATCCACTGTTGTTTTTAATTGTTTTAATGAGAACAGGTATTTCCTGTTCCAGATATCTTAATTGGCTTTCTAAGTGTCCTATTTAAGATAGAGAGAAAATAAAGCATAATTTACAGCAGTCCTTTTATTGGTACTCTTGTATTCCAATAAAGAAAGTATGAACTAATAAAGGAAAAAAGCAAAGTAACTAATACTATTCAGGAGTAGATGGACAATAGATAACTTTTTCTGTTATGTTGATACAGTTGTAGCCTGTGAATAACTTCTGGTCTAAGATCCAATTTTGATGTACTGTGTCAAAAGTACCTCCTTGATGTCATACGTTTAAGTTTCAACATTGCATTTCAGATGAGAATTTGGTGATAGGCTCTTGTGCGATAAGTCAGCTGTATTTTGGTACTGAGGAAGATAAAGTGAAGAATTTAGGTAGTTGCACTCATTTCCTGGACAGAACTGATAAATGCGTTTATATATTCACAGAACTGTATCACTTTATACAAGAAGATGAGATTATATGCATTTCTTTTTTTGTAATTGAAAATAAATAAAAGGATTGATGACAGAGAACTGGCTATCTTTAGAATGACCACAATAATCCAATCTCAGTGAATAATTCAGTGATGACCCATTTTGTCTCTAAAGCTTGCGGTGGTTATAAACATCTGAGAATGATAGTTTGGACCTTGCCTTAGGTGTTGATGGGACAGCTGAGTGTGACTGGAACGTGTTCTTTCTTCTCTTTCAGTGGTTTGGGGAGAATGCAATCATTCCTTCCACAATTGCTGCATGTCCTTGTGGGTGAAACAGAATAATCGCTGTCCCCTCTGCCAGCAGGACTGGGTAGTCCAAAGAATAGGCAAATAAAAACACTGGAAGTTTTTGTTTTTCTGTTGAACTTGTTGAAGTAGTGTATATCTTATGCCACATGCTCACGCGAAAGAATGGAACGTGTTGGTGAGGTTTTGTTGTGTGCTCTTTGCTGTACGAGGAGGCAATGGTCAGTCTCACTGCAGATATTCCCACAATTGAAAAAAGAGAGACACTACGTTAACAACTGTGTCTGTTTAAATTTGAGTGTTAACTGTATCAGAGCATACAAATGTGTTGGTGCAGATTATACGCTAAGTGCAGTTTATTTAATGTTCTTGCGTAGATAAATTAATTAATTTGAAAGGGCATCCTTACCTGTAAGTCTGATGTGCTGCATAGTTTACTGTCAGGATAAATAAATAGTTTTCTAAGTAATATTGCATCCAAAAAACACAGTCGGTGAGTTTTTTAGAAAGCATTCTGGTTTTTAATCTAAAATGAATAGTGTGTAAAGCATTTGCTATGTGCTTTTTCCATCACACTATCCTGAATGTTTCTAATTTATGTTTTTTTTTATGACTTTAGAAAATTTTGTTTTGTTCCATCTCTAAGTCTGTTGCTCTGTTATATTCTGCACATGATTTCTACCACTATGTATTAAAATTTAACTACATTAATAATTTTAAAATTTGTATTTCTGTTAAAGCTCATGGAGACATGTATTTTTAATCCAGAGATTTTTGGTACAAAGACACATACTTGATGTGAGTTAACTAGGGCATAAACAATTTTGCTGGTTAGATGACTAATATAGAAAGCAAACAAAACTGATAATTTAAATATCCCAGGGAAAATAGGTGCTAATTAAATCTAAGGAAAATGTTAAATTGCGGATTCACAAAAATTAAGTTAAAAGAAATTTCATTATAATAATTTTATTGATTACAATGTTTCAGAAGTGGGAGAAAGCCTTGGTTCATTTGTGTGGAAATCCTCAATATATAATCTTTTTAATATTAATTGTGATTTTTTTTCTCACAAATATTTAAATGCTTGCCTCTGACTTTGTCTTTTCCCTAAATATGTAAAGTTATTACTATTAATCTGAATGTATGCTGTGGGTTTTTTTAATATATGTAGTAGGTTGAATTAATGTTTTAAGTCTGTAACAAATTCAGGCTTGATAAAATGGTTAATAAACTTGGGTGAAATTGAAGCAATATTATATGCATATAATTGTTTACTTCAAAATTATAATGTTAAATGTTTAAGATTAATGCATTTCTCATCAGATTTATTTCTATGTTCTGTTTATTTTAAATATATTTAAAGAGGTTTATCTTCACTGTATGAAGTATTTCAGGTGTCAGTTTTGTGTCTTCAAGCATACATACAGACTTTACTGTGGTTTTGTTTAATACTTGTATTCTTGTTTTTAAAATGTTTTGAATTTTTTAAATATAGCTTTTGTCTCATTACACACTGAGATTAAAAAAAATCTTCTGTGTCACTGTTACAGTGTATCACGTTGGTTGTTATTACCCCAGATGATGTCTCTTAAAACTGAAAACATAGAATAGGTTAACAGTAGTCATGAGGTGTCTATAGCATTTACCTTGTTGTGGAGTATTTAATCTTGGCTTTTCTGTTTGTATAAAAGGATTCTTCCTAAAATGATTGCAAAAGAAAAATTGGTTGGATGTGGAAATAATTTTTAGCTGTAGAAGTTAAACTTTATCTACCACCAATTTTCTCTGCCATAATTTGGTTGCAGGCTTCATCCTCTTTTAATTCCATCTAGTCCCATCAGAAGACGTATTTCTTAATTTTGCTTTGGTTTACAGGTGAATATGTAAAGAACCAAAGTAATTTTCACCCTGCTTTCAGTTCACTTAACAGGCATGACACAAGTAGCTGAGAAGGTTAATTCTAGAAAGGTTTTCCACAGTGTCAGCTCAAACAGGTGTTATCACAGATGAGATATTAGGAAAGTTAATGTTGAAATCAAAGCAGCTGATATTTGTATGTATCACAAGTATCTTGTTGACCAGTAATCAGAGGTTTGCCTCAAATATAAGGTACTGAATTTTAAGTCCTGCTTATTTTCTCTGTGATTTAGAGAAGATTAGCTTAAGTCTCAGTCTTTCTATGAGCTTTGCACCAGAGAAATTTTCTTCTGTTTGAAAACATACCCTGATATTCCACTAGCATAGTTCTTATTAAGTACCCATATTTAGTCCTGAATTTGTTCACCTTTTGTACATGCAAAATAAACCAGGTTTGCTTCGCACCCAAACATACCGTTTTATGAGTAGGTAACACCAACTTAAATAGCCATTATCGACTCAGATTAATGCTGATCTGCTTTTCTCCACTGTTTAATAAGTGCTGGGCAGGTTTGGATAATTCAGCAAATCTAGCTAGAGTTTTCTCTTAAAAGTGACTGGAATAATGAATGTGTGTCTAAAGATTGTATTGTTTCACTTTTTATGAAGTGAAACATTTGTTTTGCTTCCTATGGTGTTCTTTTAGAGAAAGCTTATGTTCCATAGAAATCTGGAAAGATTCTAATTATCAGAGCAGAATGATTTTTGGAGCTGTGAACGTGTTTTTCTTACGCAGATACCAAAAACATTAGGTATTTTCTTGATTTGCTTGGACATTAATGTATCACTAGCTGGTGTACTCTTGAGTTCACCCTTAGGTCCCCAACTAGCAGCCATTTGTACTGCTACTCTAAGTTTGAGCTGTGGTGGCACTCTTGCTAAATGTAAAAAAGGCCCTGCTGAATTTTAGGAGCTGAAATAAAAGCTTTTTTTATCTCCTTTCTTACCCAGGATGTTATAGGAATATGTTGCTTTTAGCACCATTTTCAGGAAAGCCACCATCAGAATTCCGCGTTTCGTCCTTTAACTTTTTTCAGTTTTGCTTACTCTGCTGGCTGCATTATTTATCCCTTTATGTAACCTTCTGCCCTGTGCTTGCATTCACCTGGCAGGACTGGTGATTGCTGTACAAGCAGGACTTTCAAATACTGTGCTTTAGAGTACACCGCGTTCATGTGCACACACAGTGGTTTGCGATGGATGGCCCCCTCACTCACAGCTACAAAAACACACCTCTACTGTAATTTTGTAGACTATAAGCATGAGTTACATGTCAAAGGATTCAACGCAGACAAGCATGTAAAAACAAAATACTACATAGCAGTAGAGTTACAAAAAGCAGCCAAGAAGGGCTTAGCACTTACTGTAGGGAAGTCTGAGAGATGCCTCATGTTACTCCCGATGTTTAGTTTTTGTGATTCAGCTCTTCAGCTTGCTATAAGAGTGAAAAAAAGAGAAAAGGAAACTTGACCTTGACCTCAAGAGTACAGCTTGACCCCGTTGCTACTGGAAGAATCATGGAACTGCTTTCCCTGTTCCCATAATACCTTCCTTAGATTTAAAGCTTTAGCAGCCAAATCACATGTCCCCACAGAAGAAGGGGGCTTATCCTAGTAAGTGCGACACATGATTTTTATTCTTTTGGGGAAAAAATGGGGCACAGACTTCCTGGTAGGCAGCCAGTGAGTGAAGTCAGGTGGAATTTGCCTTCACTTGGTTATAATCAGCTTTGGCCCTGTGTTGATGCCGCTTCAGCTATACGCTTTTGCCACCTTCTCATCCTGCCACTTACTGTCATAAAGCTCAGCAGGGAAAATAAATTGAGGCCACAATAAAACATGGAAGTGGCTTGGCAGGATTTGGCTGGTTGTTTGAAGTGGTTTTCCTTCTTCTGTGGGTAGGAGATGAAGTCAGAACTATATGTTGTTTCATATATATGGATCATTATTTTTAGACGAGCAGCAGGTCTTAGCCTCTGCATGTAATCCTCTCAGACAGAGCCACATGAGGCATCAAGGTTTGCACGAAGTGTCTGTGGAGCTCAGAGTCATGACGTTGAGTATAACTTGAGTTTTGGAAGTGTGAATGCTCAAAGCAGTGAATTGTGTGATAATTTAAAGCTCCATGACTCATGTTTGTCTATGTCGACTTCTATTTCAGGGATGGCAGATTTATGATAAAAGCTTTTTATAAAACCAGATCCCAACTTATGTAATTCTTAGTACATTGGTGTTCTCTGTGTTGAGTGAGGGAGATATGAAGCTGTCTGTCCTGGGTTAAGCTGAGACAGTTCTTTCCTCTTGCTAGCTACTATGAAGAAAGTTAATTCCGTCTCAGCTTAACCCAGGACACTGTCCTATTAATGGTGGCTAGAGTGCCACTGTGTTTGGAGTGTGCATGTATTGCAGATAGGAATCTCTGCATGTTCTCAGCAGCCGGGGACAGTGCATGTAGAGGGAATCGTGGTACCTTTAAATGTTGTCAGGGCCCATTCTGAAAAACACCAGCTGAGCTGCAGTCATTTGGTGCTGCCAGTGAGAAGGTTCGCCTAGGATGTCATTCCTCAGCTATACATAGCAAACTCAAAGCTCCTTACAGAGAAACCTCTTACCAGTCACTTTCCACAAATGGTGTGTATACCTAAAGGTACTTAAGAGAAAATCCTTGAGAGGTATTTAATGCAAAAGCAGTTAGTCTCTCTGGTGTTTTTCAGAAGCCCCCACGCACCACTAACAGGGAGAAGTGCAGAGCAGCTGCAGCACAGCACTTGGGCCAGTTACTCATTTTGTTTCAGCCAGGCTCTGCCACCCCAAGAGCTTGCCAAGATGTGTGATATGGGGGGGCTTGACAACCTGATTGCCAACACAGCCTATCTACAGGCAAGGAAGAGTGGAGAAGGAGACACCAAGGAGATGCAAAAGAGACGTAAGAGCCTCTCACTGCCCAAGATTGATCAATGCAGAGAGGTCAGAGAGTCCGTTGTCGCTGATTATGACAGCATCTGTGAGCAGCAGCCCATTGGCAAGAAATTCTTCAGAGACTTCTTAGAGACAGTGCCGGAATATTTGGTAGCTAGGGACTTCCTGGATGAGGTGTCAAACTGGGAGTTGGCAGAGGACAATGCCAAGAGCAGTACCATGGAGAATATGATCACAAATTTTCTTAAGGAAGGCTCCAAAAACTATCTGGCTTTCGTTAGCTCTGACTTGGCCAGCAAATGCCAAGCAGCTACTGCAAAAGACTATGAGAATGTCATGCAGCTAGCCAAGGAGGAAACCAAACTCTTCCTTAAAGGCAAGCCCTTCCAGGACTTCCAGACCAGCCCCTTCTATGACAAATTCCTCCAATGGAAAGTTTTTGAGAAGCAGCCGGTAACTGAGAAATACTTCTATGAGTTCCGAGTGCTGGGCAAAGGTGGCTTTGGAGAGGTAAGAGCTGTACTTTTAAGGATGTGGGTCATCCGTCCCCTTTCAAGACCATCAGTGGGTTTGCAAAGAGGAACTTGGCAATGGATTAAGAAATTGTCTAAGGTTTTGCAAAACTTGCTCCTTCAGATTGTCCATTTCCCAGAAATTAGCCTGGGTTTGTTATCTGTACTGTAGTACAGGCTCCAGATGCCTGTTAGTGAAGAGCCACTCTAAAATTTTTATATTTGTATCTATGCTAGTGAAAAAGCACGCTTCTTTACAAAAATCTTGCATGACTGTCCATTTAGCTAATTATTAGTCTGCTCCTTGGCACCATTTTAGCCTGTGCTAACTCACACATCCTCAGATAATTCCTAGGTGCAGTTTAGGAAATAGTACAGATCAGGATCTGTTCCCAAAATACAATACGAATGAGGCTACATTTTTTTAAGATGGAAGAGAGTTTAGCTATACAGGTGCAAGCTGTATATGCCACTTATTCTCACGGTCAGAGAATGGGTCCTTGTTCATCTTATTTTCTAATACATGTCTACTAATGGTGTCCTCAAGAACTTTTCATAAGATCCACCATATACTGGTCCAGAACAGAATAGATTGTATGCTTGTTTTTTCCTTATTTTCTCTGCTAATATAATCTGCCACGGAAGTTAGCATCAGCAGCTAGTAGTAGGTATCTGTGATTCCCCATTTCCTGACTATTACTGCCCTTGATATTCCAGTCTGTGTGGGTAAAATTCCTTTATTACCATTCCTTGTGCATCTTGCTTCTCTAGGTTTGTGCCATCCAGGTGAAAAATACTGGCAAGATGTATGCCTGCAAGAAACTGGATAAGAAAAGGTTGAAAAAGAAAGGTGGAGAGAAGATGGCACTACTGGAGAAAGAGATTCTGGAGAAGGTCAACAGCCCTTTCATAGTCACACTAGCTTATGCCTATGAGAGCAAAAGCCATCTGTGTCTTGTCATGAGCCTCATGAATGGAGGGGATTTGAAGTATCACATCTACAATGTGGGAGAAAGGGGTTTGGAAATGAACAGGGTCATGTATTACTCGGCTCAGATCACTTGTGGGATTCTGCATCTCCATTCCATCAAGATTGTGTACCGGGACATGAAACCAGAAAATGTCCTCCTGGATGACAATGGTAATTGCAGACTCTCTGATCTTGGATTGGCAGTGCAAGTCAAAGACGGAAAAAGCATCACTCAGAGGGTGAGTACAAATTCATGGAATGTGGGCAGTGGGAAGGGAGGCTGTTCTATTTCTAATGCCTTATGAGTCCAAGACTTAATTCCCTGGGATTTGTTCTTTGCTAAAGACCTTACATGGTCATTTCATTCTAAGAGACAGGTGGTAAGAAGATTTGGTTAATTAACTCTCTAGATGCTATATGTAGTAAAGTAACTTCTTTTACACAGAAACAGTAGAATCAAGTTGGCCCATTGTTTCTCTTACGATAAACTCTTGACCCAGTCATTTTAGAGAGGCTAAGAGCCTTGTGCCTTGAGCAATAGTGCATAATCAGGGGTTTAACCAATTACTTGTTTTTATAATGAGCAGCAAAGATGTGACTCCTTCTGTATTCAGTTTTTGCTCCTAGAAAAATACAATTTATTCTAGATTACTCTTAAGTGATGCTACTGGTTGTATTGCAGGTGTTCATGGTGCTGCACAATAAACCATTGGCAACTTTCCTCCCCCCACAAATTATTTCCTGACAAAGTTATTAGACTTGATGAGAGTTTGGGAGTATACACGCCTGTGTGCATGTGTAAGAAGAGAGAGATGGATGACCAGCTGGTTTTTGCTGTGTGAATTAGACTGTGCAGCACCTCAGCTGTGCCTGGGGTCATCCCAAACTAACCCAGATTTGTAACAATGGCATGAGATTTACACAACAAAGGTGTATTGGTGTAGCTTAACTATGAAAAAAGCCTATTTCTCCCGAGGTGCTGGGAGCTTGTATATAATGAGCGAATGTGTCTGAAATACACTGAGAATATGAAGAAACAGAAGCAACATTATAAACTGGTCTAACTGCCTTATGTAAAAACTGCCAGTGTTTCAAGTTACTCTGGAGAAATTCAGTAGGAGAGAGAGGACCTGCTGGTAACCTTTTCCATCATGCTTGAAGTGCACACATCTTTGGATCTTGTTACTTAGCACAGTAATTTGTAGTTTGAAGGATATTTGTTTTCCTGGCAATTTAAAAAAAAATGGATGAGTGTTTTTAATTCTCAGTGCAAGCAATCATGGAAACGGATATATTTTTAGATGGGAAATAATTTTATAATGAGGCTGCATTGTGTTTTAGATATACAAATACAGTTTCTGTGAAAGCTAAGGCAGGTTTTTAAGTAGAATTTATGTGAAATGGGAATGTTTTGTTTGTGAAGATGGCATTCTGATTACAGAAGCTACAAACTTTACTGTGTTTTGCAAGTTACAGATGCATGCAGTTATTGTGATCAGAAAAATTAATTTTGTTGAAGGGCAGTTTTTACTACTTGTAAATATGTGGAGTTTGTCAGAAGAAGAATAAAAACCAAATGAAAGAATGTGTTCAGAAATGTCTAACCACTGCTGTTGGTATTTGGGTAGAATCTCAAAGTAGCAGTGGACAAGGCAGTTGTTCCTCCCCACTTTTGATGACAAAGTCATGATGTTGTTAGAATGGTTTTTTTTTTTCTGTTGTTCATTGTTTTTAGAAGCACTATTCACCATTATATGGGTGCTTTTACTACAGCAAAAACTGCATTGAATAATATACTACACAATTGTAGTGTGTTATAGAGAATTTCTGTTAAAGGCAGTTTTATTCATACAGGAAATTGGCATAGGAGAAGGAAGAAACTAGAAATATCATAACTCTGAGGGAGTTAAATTAATAATAATTCCCAGTATTATTTTGCATTTCTATTAACTGACCCAAATTGAGTCATTTGAAAGCTACTAGAAAAAAAACATTATATAAGAGCTAGATATTACTATTATTTATGTGAATGTCATACACATGGAGACCTAGAAACACCTTTACAAAATTTGTTGCATTAAGCTTCACCATGTACCCATGTAATAAAATAAAAGTCGTGCTGTTAAATTAATTTTTGTTTACTAATCACAGTTACATTGTGACTTAAAAATGGCAGAAAGTTTATATCATAGCATGCTTTTTGAGTATGGCTACCAAATTGTTATCACTTGGAAAAAGTCTTGAGAGAAGATATTTGTATAGGTTTGGGGTTTTTCACCCAAAAAGAGATTTCGCTCCAAGACAGAGTTATTAAATTAAATTTATTCAGTTATACCATTATGTGGACACAGTTTTATATGGGCAATTTTATAAGCTAAAGCAGAAAATATATTCCTCCAGGCCAATCTGTATTGTACTGTATGGCTGGCTGAAGTGCCTAACATCATAAAGCTGTTTCTAGATTTGGGTGATGATCTGAACTGATGATTTAAGGATTACAATTTTCAGTCACTAATTACAGGAAAAATACTACTATAACATAAAACTTTTTCATTTCAATTTATTTATCCATTTGCAAAGAATCCTTCTGTTTTGAGGGATGTTGTAATACATTTGGGCTCCATTCGTATCTCCAGCAAGACTTTAAAGCCTTGTACCGTTGTAACCCGCTTTTAAGACCTGGTTCTTCCACATCATACTTAAAATACTGCTCTATTGCACTATGAGAATAATGCCTAACTTTGCTTTAATCATATTAATAAGTCATTCTACTGCCTGAAAGTAGTTAACTAATATCACTAGTACCAAATGAAACCATGGGTTAGCTGTCCAGTAGAGTTAATGGACATTTATTTAATCTCTTAAGATAAATTTTGCTTAGCCAGTTTTACATGTATTATGAAGAATTAAGACAGTTTATTTGTTAAATGTAAGGCCAAAATAATTTTAAAAATTGCATTCTGTTGTGGTGTTTCTGAAAGGTGATATATTAAAAAAAAAGTTGTATTTATTTTATTTTTTTCTGCTGTCTAATGAAAGCTTGTGAGCTTGAGTTGTTTGGTCTTTCATTTTATTTCTTGTTTTTTATCTTAGAGATATCAGTAGCAGCAACTGTTGAATTCCTTGTTTTGCTGAAGTACTGTTTTCAGAGCAAAAAAAAGTAATATGCTTTTCTGGATCATATTTTATCCGTTTACTCACACTGAACAGATTTCTACGATGCAAGCTACCCTTGTATTCAGTAAAGCTACCTTTATTACAAGATTGTATTCATTCTGAGCATCTGTTTTAGTCTCATACTCTTGAATGGAGAAGCGGAATGGTGCCTTTTTTAAAACAGAGCACTTTCTTCCAAATTGTTTTCTGCAGGTGTGAACTAGATAAATGCTAAAGTAAAATAATTTAAGATTTTTAAACAACTGTCTAAAAATCTCTCTTGGAGAGTTAGGTTTTTCTTCCTGAGTGCTAATCTTTTCATAATCTCTCTGGTTCTTCAGCTGTTAAGTGGATCTTCTTTATGAACAAACACAGTAAAGTAGAAAACTGTTCCATGCCTTTTATATATCAGGAAGAGCCACGTAAATGTGGAGTAAACATCTGATCTTGGGCACCTGCTTAAAAAATGTTCATCTCTGTGTGTCTGACTGTAACTACGCTGGTATGAAAATGTCTCTTAATACATCATAGGCAGTGAAACAAAGCAGCAGTTTTCTGCGTTTTTTTCTGTGTCTCTTTCTTTGCTATATATTATGAAGTAAAAACATCATGTGACGACTTTCATCGTTCCTTATACAGGGTTGAATAGTATATAATATATGGATTTATCTGTGTGTTTATTACATTAGAGATTGCAAAAAATACAGTATTTCAATGCATTCTGAAAGTTTTGCACACCTCTCATGAGATAAATTTGTTCTGCTTTCAAAGCATCAAAAAAATTCCTAGCCTCTCATGTATACAGAAATGTACATCACCCAAACATTGGCTGGAGGATCCATAAATCCTTTTTGTAAATCTTGTTAGGTGATTAGGTTATCACATGGCACAAGTGATAGGCTAGTTAACGAGTTCCTGTTTTAGACATTTTCCAAGTTTTCAGTGAGGATTTCTATGAAACTATAATGTTTATGTGCTGGTTACCAGCCAAAGATTATTTTGTTTGTGGGTGGAAAGGTTTATTGAATTTAGATGGGTGACTTTAATGTGGTCTTCTGAAGAAGTAATGTGTGTTTATGCTGCATAAAAAGCATTGTGCTGCTGATGATTTAATACTTACGTAATTGCAGAAGTAGTCTTGGTATCCTTTAAGTATTGTCATTCCATATACTCTTTTTGAGAAATATTTGTGTGCTCTGTACCAATTGTCTGTAACGATTATAAATAAAAATACCCTGCTTTCAGAAACAATGCTGCTTACAAAGGTCTGGAAAGAGTTGGATACGCAGCCTTAGTTTTGTCCCTTTCTTTTCAATTGCTAGAGCAGCAAGTAGAAACATCTGGCTTTCCATGTGAATGTTATTTTGAACACATATAGGCAGTTGCGAGTAATTGGTACAGCAATAATTACAGAGTTTGGAAAACTTTAATTTCACTAAGGTGTGCTGATTTGTATTTGTGGAGTGCTAGTTGGCTTTAGAAGAATAATCACAAAAAAAAAATTAAACCACACAAGTTTGGAACAGTAACAGTCTTGGAAATAAAAGATGTAGAAGGCAATTTAAAGCTGCTTACAATGTATTTTTAATTTATGAAACAAATATGGATCATATGGGATCTTCTCGTGATGTATACATGTACCTGTGCAATCTACCTAGAAATGTGTATAGGCACACTTACTCAGGCAGAGTTCTTACTGACATCACTGGAAACAGAAATAAACTCTTTGCCAGTGATAACAGAATTATTGTTGACTTTAGGAAATATTGCTATGACTTTTCATACAAATGTGCCTGTAGCATCTGTTCTGATGTGTTAATCATACCATCCATAAACTAGATTGTCTTTTCAAATGGCGCCTTTTTAAATGTTGATATTCTCTTTGTTTTATGTAATTGAAATAGGCAACAAGGAGAAACTGAGAGCCCGTAAAGATGGCTTTTGCATAGGCAAAATGTTTTTTCAAGTTATGTGCTCACTTGATTGATTCTGGAACTAGTTCTTTTTGCATATGACAGAAATGTGGACCCTCCATCCCAAGTTTTTCTACTTTAACAGTGTGACCTGGCATCCTTTTTCTTGA